CACAAACTGCGTTGCAATGCATATCATTTTTCAAATGTCATTTATGTGAAAATATGAAGTCTGTAAACGCCCGTTAACACAGGCTGTGTAGCAGGCAGATCACTCACTGTTCATGATGCATGAACTATTGGAAGAAAATCCTCAATATTGATTTGGGGGTTTATATGAATGTGTTTCTGAGGAGAACTGAGTGTCTTCAGAAAAGTTTACGTGGTATTTTCTTTTAATCTGGTCTCTGTATAGTTCATATTAAAGCAGTGTTTCAGAGCAGTGCTGCTTTGTTTACTGGCGGTAACCAAGGAAACACTGTGTCTGGTGATTGAGAAGCACCTCCTACTGTCAGAAAGTGAATCTGCGTCTCATTCAGAGCTTCTGCTGTTTGTTTCGTTCAGGCATGTAGTATAATTTCACAAAGCTAGTCAGAACATTCTGTTTTTGCTTCAAATTGGGTTATTATTAAATCAAATTATGTATATGAAATTATATAACTAAATGATATGAAATGATATAAATGATATGTATATGAATTGTATAACTAAAATTAAATAACTGTAATTACAGATTTAGGTTAAATAAAGATGTCAGTCTTTATTTTTCTTCTTTTTAGGAAACAAATCAAAGAAAAAATAAACAAATTCTACTGTTCCTAATATTCTGTATGTTGCTCAAAAACAAAATATATTGTGTTCAGCGGAAAAAAAGTTTAGTTTTTTTTACCCAGTCATTTAAAAATAACACATTTTAGAGCTGTAACGACAATACCGTGAAACCGTGATATTTTTGCTTAAGGTTATCTTACCGTCAAAATCTCATACCGGCCCATGCCTAAACGCAATATTCCATTAAAAACTATAATTGTCCAATCATTCATGGTAAAGTGATGGTTCACCCAGTATAGAAAAGAAAAATACCTATGGAAGTCAAAATTTTTCAAAATATCATCTTTTGTGTTCAACAGAAGACAAAAACTCATACTAGTCTTTTCTACATTGTGGACAGGAATGTCCAGTACCTTCGATGTAACGATGACCCATGTATTTACGATCTTTTGCCAAAGCCTTTTTAAAGTCCTCTGATGTCTTCAGCTCTACAAACGCCTCTCCACTCGGCCTTCCCTCTTTGGAGAAGGTAAAACACACGCCATTCACTTTCCCTACAATGTCACAATCTGGAAATGAAAAAAGGACACAACTGCAGCTCTTTTTCTGTAAACTCACATAGAGCACTACAAAAGATGCTTTCAGTTTGAGATTTTGCATACCAGAGAAAAAGGAGGCCACTTCCTCTTGTGTGCATGACCAAGGTAAACCACGGATCCGTACCACATATCCTTCATCATTATGAGACATGTTTACCTTGTCAGGACTGTATCTGAAAAACAAATGATTGTAACACATGGTCCATGCCTCTAAACCTAGTGAGCTGCCTACCTAAACTCAATCAAAATAGTTTGTGTTAGTCTTCTTTTCTGTCTTAACCTTGCTAGTGCAACAAACCTAGGAAGTTGTCTACTTAGAAAGCATTTTTGGGCATTTCAGGAGAGCTCGAAACGTATGACGCCCAAAAATGCTGTCTAGGTAACGTTAGGCAATTCAATATATTTTGAGAGAGAGCCATGTTGTCAATAGTCAGGCTTCCTTCAAGAGATAAAAAGACAAACAATAATGACATTTCACACAAACGCAACATGTTTTGGTGTAGTTTGGAATACTGACTAGTATAAATCAGTTGGCGCCTTATATAACGTCAATTCAAGTTAGTTAGCTAGCTAGACAACCACTACCCGATAAGTCAAAATATAGTGTTTTAAACTTAAGACCAAGCTAACATGGTACATGTTATATATAGCATTCGGAAAACAGTTCGGTCATGTGTCAAACAAACCGCTACCGAAACTGATTAACTTTAAGCGCAACGACTGTAACATTTGCGAGATATTCTTCTGACAGGAATCAACGACCGACAAGTTCACATATTCTGGAACAAAAACCAGCACTTCCGCGATCCAAAGTGCACAAAATATATTCACCATTGAATGTAAATGATCAACTTACACATGAAAAGTTAAACATGAAGAAATATGCACATGAATAGCTTCTTACCGTCAAGCGCCCGTCCTCTCAGGTAACCCTGAACGATAGTCCAGTAGTCCAGATAGTCGAACTCTCGCGAGAACGCGGCCTGTCAGAGGACGGTGACCTCGCTGCAGGCGCACCGAACGGTGTGACGTGTGAGCCGAGGCTCCAAGCGCATGTTGTGCATGCATCACGGAAGAGTCATCGAGCGTAGTCACTAGGTTTATACTTAATCCTGTATAATACTGCAATGTGGCACATATGGGGCCATGTGTACTACCCCGAGAGACTGCCTGCAGCTCTCTGTACAAACAAATACAGCTGTGGGAAGACTGAAAGCCATGAAGCTAATTAGAACTATCACCCCCCCCACCCAATA